ATCGTCGGGTGCAGATAGTTGAGCGGTCGGTCTTGGCTCATTAGTGGCGGTGGCCATGAGTTTTGGGACTCTCAGCCATGAGAGGAGGGGAGGTAAAGTGGAGTTTGGTTTGTTTTAGTGGTCGAAAAGGCCACCTTGGTCGTTTTAGGTGTCGATAAGAGAAGGAGGTCGCCACTTTGGGGGATAATGTGAGGCTTTAGTGTCCTTTGGAGTGGTCAGTCGTATGGTGAGAGGTGAGGGAGAAGATGAAAGTTTAGTTTTGTTTAGTTTTTAGGCTTAGTTTCAGTTTATATTAGATTTTCAGGTAGATAACTTAGTAATCCCCCAGGTTTCACCGTGTTATTACATTGTGGTCACCATTTTTTATTTTCTTCCATTTTAGGCTCGATTTTTATTTTTATTTTAACTTGGTCCTGTTAATTTATTTCGAATTGAGCATGTTGTTTTGTTTAATTTTTGATTTGATCACAACATTTGTTATTTTGTTTGTTTTAATTTAACTACTGTTTTTTATTTATTGCATTTTAATCACTTAAATTCATGTTATTTTATTTTAATTTTGCACCATGTTTTATTTTATTCTAAACATGATCACTACTTTTAACTTATTATGGCTTTTGAATATTTGAATTGACCTTGTGGTGACCGGATCCGGTGTATGATCCACATTATTATGATTCAGACTCTATTAACATATAACCACTAACCGCTAACTTGTTATTTATTTATTTATTTTATGTTCAAACAATAGTATGACCTTGTGACAACCCGCTCCGGAGTACGACTCGCATTATTTACGATCTTGGTTAAATATTAAAAATTAACACTAACATTTTATTTTTATTTCTCTTTTATTTTTGTTAATTAATTTTATGCACATTTAAATGTCTGCCATTTACTTTTTATTTATATAATTTCAGTCCTCTAATTTCATTACCTTAAATTTCTATTTTTATTTCTGTCATTTATTTTTCAGAACTTTAATTTTAGTCCTTTGATTATTACACTTTATTTTATGTTTATTTCTGTCATTATGATTATTGCATGTTTCATATATTTATCACATTGAATGTCTTATTTTGTTATCTTTCATTTTGGTCTTTATGTTTATTTATGAATTTATTTTATTTAAGTATTTATATTTGTGATACTTATTTTTTGTCTTTACTTTTTATTGTGTATATATTTTTTCCATTAAATTCCAACTTTTATCATCTAGCATGATTAATTAAATTTGTCAAAATATTTGTTCACTTTGTCTAATATATTTAAGCTCTAAAATATGTTTATCCATGCCTACTTTAGCTATATTTACAATTAGATAGATTGTATTATTATATTTAATTCTAAGATTTAATTATGTTTGTGCATTTAGATCTAGATATTTCGAATATATATGAAAGCCTCATAAGCATAACTCGACTGATTTCATAATTGGATTAAATATGGTATTTTTTTATTTTAAAATATTACGAAATGATCGTCTTAAGGTAACTAAATGTTCTATTCCGATATTTTAAAATAAATAACTACTCTACTAGACAACCTGAAAAATCGAACATGCTTAAATTAAATCAAGAAACATCTCTTATCTTTTCTAATTAAATTTGTAATCTGGACTAATTGGCTTTTTTATTTTTGGTGATTCAAATTATTTAATCTCTAATTCTTGGGAGAAATTATTATATTCTTTTTATTTTAGTTGGAAAGAAAAAGATTCATCCTAAAGTATTTTAGAGATTATTTTCGCTTCGATTAGAAATATTGGAATATATTCTATTTCTCGTTAGAATTTTTTGTTAAATAAAAATTGTATGGTTGAATTTGGAATAATATGATTGTAACTTAAATTTATATTCAAATTCTTAGATTTCCAATATTAGAGACAATTTATAATCGACGGGGTACCAATTTTGGGCATTGTGGGGGTGCTTATCCTTGCCCACACGTAATCGACTGCAAACCCTTTTTTTATTCAAAAAATGAATTTATGGTTACACATAGACTTATTTATCTTTTTTGTTTGGTAAGAAAATGAAAACTACCTAATTACTTAAACCTAATTGCATTCTTCAATCACGAGTTGGCTTATATTAGCAGGAGGCTCCTGTAAGATTCTGGTTTGGCTATCTTCGAAATTGACGCTTCTTGCTAGTTTATCAGCAATTTTATTCCCTTCTCTTCGGACATGTTGCAATCTGACGTTCCAATCCCGATTTATCAGTTCCCTTATGTACGGTATTATGGTAATATTTCCTTCTTTGTTTGTACTATTCTTCAGTGTCTGTATTGCTTCGAGGCTATCTACTTCAACTATGAGTTGTTGGATTCCTTGTTCCCATGCACATCTTAGCCCTGTATATACTCCCCATAATTGTGCTTCCAGTGTAGAACATATTCCTATGAATTTTTTGAAGTCGATCCTCCATTTTCCATTCAAATCTCTGATTACTCCTCCACATGCTGCTTTTCCATCTGTGTTTCTACGGGCTGCATCTGTATTAAGTTTTTTCCCATCCCTTTGATGGAGGTAGCCAAACTGTTGGACCAACCAATTCAATTGGTTGTGATTTGTTTGCCTGGTCTCTTTCTCTATCTGCATTGTTTATTGAGTTTGTCATCTTGCGGCTTCGTTCTAATATTCCTGTGTTATCTTCCATAGGATTGTTGAAGACAATCGAATTCTTCATGATCCATATGTTCCATAATACCGATCCGAATAGGATTTCCCAATCTTTACTTTCTTTAGCAAACATGCTTGGTCTTGTTAAATTCACTTCAACCCAATTCTTTATGTCCATTGTTAGGAAGTTCTGTAATCTCTCGTTTTTCACCAGTGTTGTCCAAATAGGGGTCATGGTAATGCAGTGTCGAAAAATATGGTTAATATCCTCTGTTTGTGTCACACAGATTAGGCAATTACTATCAATTGTAAGATGTCGTCGAAGTCTTTCTGCATTTGTCAGAATTTTACCTTTGCAAACTAGCCATAGGAATGTTTTCAGCTTTTGTGTTCCTTTGTATGCGTGAATTACCTTCCATACAGGTTCTTGAGTATCTTCCCTTTGTTTTATTCTAACTTCATATGCTGTTTTGACATAGAATTGACGATCCTCTCTCTTTAACCATCCAATTCTATCATTTTTTGCAGTTGTCTGAGGTCCTTTAATCGCTACCAGTCTCAGAAGTATATGCAGTGGTAGAAGGTGTTCAATCTGCCTCCAGTTCCAATTACCATTTTCATCAGTCATGCTTTTTATGGTTGCTTTTCCCACCTGATTATGGTCTCGTTGATTGACCAAATTTATTAATGGCTCTATTTCTGCAATCCAGCGGTCTCTCCAAAAATCGGTATGTACCCCATTTCCTATTATTCTGGTTATGTTGCTTTGGACATACTCCCATACCATGCTTATCCCTTTCCATAGTTTGGAGCAGTTTTGGCTTCTAATGTTAGTCGGTATCTCATCTTTGCATTTGTATTTCGCCTTGAGAACCCAAACCCACAATGCGTCTTTTTTTGCTATTAGATTAAACGCCACTTTCATTATAAATGCTTCATTTTGCTCTTTTATCTTTCTAAATCCAAGACCTCCATCCGATATTTTTTGGCATACTTCCTCCCATTTTACTAATGGCAACCCTCATTTTCCATCTATTTTACCCCATACAAATTGTCTGATGATTTTTTCTAGTTCTCCAAAAATTTTTTGGGTAATACTGCTATCTATATGGTGTAAGTTGGGATGACTGCCAAAACAGCTTTTGCAAGTGTAATTCGACTAGCTAGTGACAATGTTTTTGCCTTCCATCCGCTTAATTTAGTTTGAACCATTTGTACCAAGTAATAATAGTATTTCGAGGTGTCTCGGGAGTGTAATATTGGTACTCCTAAATATTTCCCTAGATCATCAACCATAGTAAATCCAAATGATGTGCTTATCTGATTTCGCAGTTCTGTTTGTACATTATTAGAGAAGAAAATTGTTGTCTTTGAAATGCTTACTTTGTGTCCCGAGACTTCACAGAATCTTTCTAGTACTGTTCTGATGATATTGAGCTGGTCTAAGGAGGCTTCTGCGAATAGAATCATGTCATCTGCAAAAAATAGATAGGATATCTTTGGGATGCTTCTTGATGTTTGGAATGGTTTCCATCGTCCTTTTTCGATTTCTATTTTAATTGCTTGTGATAGTCTCTCCATACATAGAACGAAAATATTAGGAGACAATGGGTCGCCTTGTCTTATCCTCCTTGATGGTTTAAAAGCGTCTGTCAATGATCCATTCCACGATATTTGTGTTGAAGCTGTCGAAACACAGTGGTAAATAAGATTACATAGAGCATCTGGGATACCTAGGTCTCGTAATGTATCATCTATGAAACTCCATTCCAGACTATCATATGCTTTTTCCAAGTCAATTTTTATTGCCATCCAGCCTTTTTTTCTAGATTTCCTTCTCATAGAATGTATTACCTCTTGGTTTATTATGATATTATCAATGATGCTTCTACCCAGAATAAAACTGGTTTGGTTATCTGATATCCATTCTGGTAACAGGGGCTTCAGACGATTAACTATGATTTTTGTGACTGTTTTATATAGCACTGAACAAAGGCTGATCGGTCGAAACTGGTGCATTTTTTCTGGTTTAGCTACTTTTGGTGAAAGTATCAGTATTGTCTGATTGAGTTATTCTGGCATTATTCCTTCTGTGAATATTTTCCGGATCATCATGCAAACTGAATTCCCAACTAAGCTCCAATTTTTCTGATAAAATAACGCATGGATTCCATCTATTCCAGATGCCTTAAGTGGTCCCATTCCAAAAATAGCTTCCTTGATTTCCTCATTGGTTACTTCTCGTGTAAGGCTTTCTTTTTCATGCTCTTCTATTTTTTTGAACTTGCCTCTTATTTCATAATTGTATTTAGGATCCTCATTGCTTGAGAATAGTTTGGCATAAAATTGGTTTGCCATTTCTCTAAGTTCTTCTTGATCAGTACTCCAACTGCCAGCTTCGCGTTTTAAGGTTTTGATTTTGTTTGCTCTTCTTCTTGTCATGATAGAATGCAGTGTTTCGATCCCCTTCCAGTATCCATTTTTTCCGTGCTTTTTGTCTCCACAGACTCTCCTCCTGGTCTAGTACAGTGTCGAGTTCTGTCCGTAATTGTTTATCCAACTCTACCAGAAATTCTGAGTGTGTTCTTTGTAGAGCTTTGTCTATTCCTCTCAGTCGTGCCAATAAGATTTTTTTCCTTTTTCCTATATGACCAAAGACGTCTGAGTTCCATTTTTCCACTTCAGTTTTGAATGTGCTAATATTTTCGTTTAGTTCCCCGTTTTCTTTCCATATGGATTTGATAAAGTCTTTAAACTCATGGTGTTCCTGCCATGCTGCTATGAAGCGGAATGGTCGATTTTTATGATCTTGTTTGTCTGTTGTCAGCCTTAGGAGAAGGGGTCGATGATCTGAACCAATTCGATCTAGATGCAGTACCTGTGAGTTTGGAAATGTTGAAATCCATTTTGTGTTTCCGAGGCAACGATCTAGTCTTTGTTGTAGGTTCCCACGATTCCATGTAAATGGTGGACCATGGAATCCTAAATCTAATAATCCAGTAGAATGCATGAAATTGGCGAATAATCGGCTTCCATTTGTGTGTGTCGTCGCACCTCCTCTTCTTTCATCTACGTCTAATATCACGTTGAGATCTCCCCCCAGGATCCAAGGTGTATTATCATTTGGTGCTAGTGCCTCTAGTTGGCTCCATAGATGTTTCCTTTTAGACCCGTTTGGGTTTGCATAAATTGCTGTGAATTGTGCCCATGTATTCACTTCCTTAGGCCGAAATATACCATTAATGAATTGATTTGATATATGGGTAATCTCAATTTCCATTGTTTCTTCCCAAAGTATCCAAATTCAACCTCCAAATCCATGTGCTTCTACTCGAAGTGACTGTGTGAATCCTAGTTTATTGATTATTCTGTCTGCTTTTGTTCCACTCGTTATTGTTTCGAATAATGCAACCATATTTGGTCTGTGTTCTCTAACAAAGAGATTAAATATTCTTTTGAAGGTAGGGCTTGCAGCTCCTTGGCAGCTCCAAAACATGAAACTAGTCATTTAGTTGAATTTGTGAGGTTTCAGATCCTTGTTGTCCGGCAATTAACCGGGACTTCTCTGTGTCTCCCTTCACTTCGCTGTTCTTTATCTGTTGATCCTTTATCACCATGTTTTTTCTTATTGGCACATTAACTAGTGTTTGTGGTTCAATGTTGACATGTTCATCATTCGAGGCTGTGGATAGCTTATTAGATACCGTCTGTACCCATTCTTTGATCAGGTTATGATTTGCAGGGCGAAAAGTTGTTTGTTTTTTTACTTTTAATCCTTTCACATTGTTTTCTTTTCTCATCCTTCCAGCTTCTTCTCCCCCTTTTGGGAATTTAGTCCCATGCGTTTTTTTCCCATGCTTGGTTCTTTTATGGTTATGGCTGTGTGGTTTCCGTTCCCTGCTGTGGTTATATGTTCCACTGCTTCCATGTTCTGTCCTTCTATCATTGGAATTACTTCTATTGCATTTTTTATGCTGTCCGATTCGTGCATTTTCTTTGCTGGTTTTGGTACCATGTTGTTCATGTTGCGATTTGTTCCCCTTGTTTGATGATCTGGTAGGTTCCTTTTTGTTGTTTCTCCATTTACTAGTCTGGTTCTGTTCTCATTATCTTTTTTATCATCTTTCCTTATTTCTATTTTAGCCATGTGACCATTCTCTTCTTCGCTCAAAATAGTGAAACGAGAGCCCCCTATTTCAGACTTTTGTTTCGCCTTATCTTTCTCAGTCTTTTGTGTCGTCGTTGTTTTTCTTCGACGATTTTCCACCACCATCCATGGTCCAAACATTGTTTCTTCTGATGTTGTTGCAAGGTTATGGTTGTTTTTGCTCCTTTCGTTAAGTTCTTCCTCACGTTTAGATTCTATATGTACTTGGTATGCTACACATTGCTCTCTTGTATGCCCATAAACCCCACAATGGAAGCAAATCTGTTGTAATCCTTCGTACTCTATTTTTTGTGTGAATCCATCTATTCCAATACACGGAATTAGTGGTTGGTTTAGATATACTAAAACCGCGATTCTTGCAAACTTACCTCTTTCCCCCGCCTGAGTGTTATAATCAACTTTAATTACTCGTCCGACTACTGAAGTAATTAGTCGAAAAAGTGCTTTTGTGTAGTATCTATAAGGTAGTCCTGGCAACCTGATCCATACTATCACTTGTGATGGATATTTTTCAGAAGTTGAGAATGATCTACTCCACGGTTGGACTGTCAAATAGCTTCCATATATTGTCCATGGCCCTTATGTTAATACCTTTGTATAGTCATCTTCATCTGCAAATTTGACTAAGAAATAGTTGTTTTCTAGGTCGATTAGTTGTATTTCTCCAATTGGTTTCCATAGGGCTTGGATCCGATTTAGCAAGGCTTTGTATCCTATCATCCGTCCTAACAGCCGAACGATGATGACATTCCTCATGTTTTTATCAATTTGATCATGAACTTTTTCCGAGAATTTGATTGTTGGGAAGGCACCCGATTTGTCGAAAACGTAGTCCTCATCCAATACCACAATTTCATCATCATTAATACCACAGCCTATATTTAGCGTTTTCCTTGCCCTAGATGTGTTGGCTACCATTCTTGCGTAAGTTGTCTTCCCTCTTATCTCATGTTTCTTTTTGTATTGCGCTTTCAATTTCTTCTACTTCATTCATGCCGAATGCTTCGGCCATGTCTCTCTCTGATAGATTATCGGCATCCATCTCTTCTGTTTCTGTAACATTATCGTTGATATTTCCATCCTTTGTGTTCTTGATTTTCTTTGGATTTCTTTGTTCTTTCAGATTCGCCTGATATTCGGTTCTTTCTAAAGCTGGTTGTAAATTGGTCTCCGACTTCTCCTCCGGCGGTCTTCCTCCAAAGGTTCCATATAGGTTTTGTTTTTCGATAAGGTTTTCTTGCGGGAACGAGGGAATTTTCCCAATCATATCGATGTCGGTATATTAATGCTTAGAGCTTCTATTTTATTTTGGCATAAAGTTAAAAAATTCAAAAAAAATTTATTTATCTTTTATAATGATGTTTTCTTAAAAACTCTTTTAAAAGAAAATGTTTTAGGTATTCGACCTACTTAACCCAAGAAGTTGATGGTGACTCCAAAACATTTCTTCACAAAATAGAATTTTTCACAAATAAATCGAGACTTGTTCGAGCTTAAGGGATGGTTACGACAGCTAGGTGACTCCGCTGGGGAATGTAGTTGGTCAATCCCTAAATCAATTACATATTGTCTCTATAGTTAGAAATTGAGAATTCAATTTTATTTAATTTATGATTCCTTTCAACTATTTTATTTTATTTTATTTTATATCCTTATGTACTAATGTTTTCATTTTATTGATTCTCAGATATTGAAATTTTGGATTTGTTTTAGCTCGATTCTAGTGTGGTTGTTTGTCAAAGGTTTGAGAATTACTCCTCACACACGACACTTGCATTTCATAACATAAGCTCTATACTCGAGCTCTTCCCTTTAAATGTGAGTTAAAGCGATGTCTTCGTGAGAATTTATTCTCCATATTAGACCTAGCAAGTAGCTTTCAGGGTTCAAGTGCCATATATCTTCGTGATGATTTATTCTTTGTGTTAAGCATAAGGATATGTGCCCTATTTAATTGAACTCGATCCGCTTAAGTCTATAATAGGTGAGGATTTAGGGTCTGGCTTGCCCAAAGGGGCATCGGCAAGGACAATTTGAGTACCCAAATAAGTGTACACAAAGGAAAAATGAACTCTAACCTTCGTCTTGTAATTTATTCGATAGATTATTTTTGAATAAATGCATGTGAACTAGAACACATGTAATTAGGGTTTTAATTTCCTCTGTATTATTCACTGTATTTTATGGTTCACTTACTAGTTGAATTTAATCTTTTCATATTTCACTAACATAAATTTCCTTTCTTTGATTTTTATTTTTGCTAACATCTTTTCCTTATCCTATTGCTTTATTTTGAACATAAACTTGGTGTTAATTCCATGGTAATTATCAAATTAGAAGGCTTTTAAAACGACAATGCCACATGAAGGGGTAGATATTTTTTATCTGCTTTAACATATTGGGATGTTGTGAGTTCTTTGAAAGTTGTTCTAAGATAATTACCTTGGAATTAAAACATGTTTCATACATGTCGTGTCATGGAACGTATTGATTCCTGAGTTAATAGTTACATTAGAAGGCTTTAAATACGACAATGTCACTCGAATTAGTAGAATATAACTACAAAAACACATCAATGGTCCAGAAGGGTACTCCAGGAAGCAGTTGGAGAGGTACATCAAGATAGAATACATGAAGCTCAAACGATACAATTGATCAAGTTGTTGATACAACTAGCTAAAAAGAAGTATTATGTTTGAAGTTGTCAAACAACAACGAAAGCTAATGTGAGCCAGTGGATGATTCTAGTCGCACATGGTTGCTCAACAAGTACACATTTTGGGAAAAGAAGTCGAAATGTTTGAGTTATATATCAAGCGATAAATAGAAGAAGGATGTTTTCTTGCGTATTCGATCAAAATGTATGAAATTGAGCAATATGACGATATTTGTAGATTCCATCTGTCTCATTATATTGAGACATTGTGTGTTATTTGGAAGTTGTTTTATGAAAAATTACTTTGGAATCAACACCTTAATTGCATTTGCACTTATATTTTTGCATTCGTATTATTGCATCTTTACTTTTGTATTTTCATTTTTTTACATTATGCATTCATATTTTGTTTGTTTCAAACTTTTCTACATATATTCAATCATGAAAAATTGGGAGTAGTTCGTGGAGTATTCAATGGAATAAATTCTAAAAAGTAAATTGGAGCCAACTTGGTCTTCCTAGAGAAAGATAAGAGCCATGAATGAGATTTTAGCACGTGTTGTTAGAATAGATAAACGCCAAGAGCAACTTATCAAAACTCAGCAAGAGATGATTGATCAAGAAAAGAAATTCCAAGACGAGTCAAGAGAAAAAATGTCTAAGTTGATGCGCATGGTGACTTTTTGATTTATAGGGAGACACCACTAAAGGATCCCACCGTAAAGACTGTGAATGAGATTCTGAATGATAATGGTGGGATCAAAATGACATCGATTGATTATTAAGAACCTATTAGGGAGCAGGGTATTTCAAGCAGGCATTAGAAATCGGATGTGGTCCCAGAAGGCTCCAATGAATTGATAATGAGGGAAATTCCTCACTCGAAGAAAATGGGCATATATGAAGACCAAATACTGATCAAGAAAGCCAAAAACTGTCAGACTCTTCCAAAATGGCCTCCGAATGAGAAATGGTCCTATAAGGAGATTCTTTGGATAAACCAGACTGAAACCTCAGAATGTTCAGCGAAGCTTTCTAGTGACCTTGAAAGAAAGTTTCAAGATCCTCTGGAGTAAGAAATTCAGAGATGCAAGGTAGGAAAGCAAAAGGCTAAAAGTCAGTGCCCAAAAATCTCTTTTCCAGCAGAAACTAATGTGATCAAATCTTGTGAAGGTTACATAGCGCAAGAGAAGGAGAAGGGAAATCTAAGCAATAAGGTTTCAGTGGATGTAATCTAAGACTGGCCTATAGGGTTGGGAAGAAATTGGTCAGATACAAGCCTCAAAACATCTCAAACACATGTATCAGGTTTTCTGATGACAAGTGGGCATTAGACATTTCAAAGAGTCTGAAAATACTCCATCAATCACTGCAGCAACTTATGCTCAAAACCCAGCTAAGACTATCATCCCCAAGAAGACCCGTTTTTGATCCAAATTTGGGCCCAGTTTTCATC